CTGTGCCCTGGGAGAGGACACACTGGCTGCTGGCTTTAAAAGTAGTGTCTGAGAGGATACTAGTACCTTCCTTGAGTAACTCAGTGGTCTCTAGTCCAAAACCACATTTTGCTTCACGTAAACTGTTCTGATTGAACCACACATTAAACACCAAGATTCACATGCAGGATTCTGGATTACACCCCAGCCAAAGTTGCCAGAAGCTGTGTACTACAACCTAATCTGCTGATGCTATAGGTCCTTATGGATCCAGTGCAGACCTTGTAGATAAATGGTTAGAACATGTTCTTGTTGGTATATAATCTGTATACATTTTATATAAATCAAAGCACATTCTAAAAACATATTGAAGAGAACTGGGGTAAACATGCTTTATACAGGTTGTAGAATGAGGAAATAGATTATTTTACTTATTAAACACCATTCCTTAGTCTCCCTGGTGGCAGTAGACCTTTGAAGGGCTATTCAATCCAGTGACTGCTGAGCAGAGCCAACGACTAACAAAAAAAAAAGCTGGTTTAGTGGGAGCCAAAAAAACCCAAAACCAAAATACAAAAGAACTAAGACTCAAGGCTATATAACTAGTTTTACTGCAAGGTATTAATCTATAGTGATTCTTAATAGCACTTTTCTTATGCAAATGTTGAGTGATGAATGTTAAATATCAAAACAGCAGGTGAAGACAAAGCCAGATAATGTTTTGAAAGCTTTTCTGAGTCCCTACTTTACAGTCAAAAATAGAACTTCAAAGACTTTAAAGCTAATGGGAAGTCTCACTTCAAGGGAGAACATACTAAAGACTTGTCATAATCCTGGCAAATTGTTTGCACTATTTTCACTGCTGAAAAATAGTTAAGCAGTCTTCAAGTGACAACAGTCTTGTTGATGTAAGTACTACTCCTAGAAGAAGATGAGAATCCAAACTCTCACTTTCTGTTGGGCAGAAACCCATAAGCAGCTCTTGACCCAAAGCATTAGCTCAGGAGACTAAATCTTTATACTTTAAAAAAAAGTGTCTGGTTAAGTCCTCATAGGCCTTAAACATCACCAAGTCACTGCATGAGTTGGTAAAACAATCAGATGATCCAATAACCCAGGAGCAATCCAACTGCAAGCAGGCAGATCAAGAAACTTGGCAAGTATAGGAAGTACTCTGCATGCATGCCAAAGAACCAAACTCTGAAATTATTCCTGCATATTAATGAACAAAATGTGTGTAGCATGCTTTACCACCACCAAAAAAAAAGCTATTTATATTATACATTATCAGCTGTGAACTAAGTAAAAGACTGCAAATAAACTTGTCTAGTTTACAGCAAAGACAGCCAAAATTACGAAGCTGAAGGTGTTGCAATGCACCCCAGTAATGAAATGCAAGAAAAACTTGATAAACAGCAAAACTTTACAAGCTAAACAGCAGGGTGGTTGTAAAATTTGTACTGTATTTATTTACAAGGTTAAATGTTTCATAAATACACAAACACAAATAGACAGATACTCTTAAAGCAGTAAAAAAGATATTCCATTACACCTTGGGGATTCTGGTTTTCAATGAACCCAAGCAATGTTAAATATTGCTGTAGTAGATTTTATACTTCATTGCTAATTTTACACTGAACAAACACTGCAAAAGGGAAAACAGACCTTTATTACACTGGAGGAAAAAAAGTAATTCCTGCCCTTCCCATAACACCTACATTACCAGAAAACCATGGACCTGATCCTTCAACTGCACACATTTAATTTTACTCTCATGAGTAAATCTCATCGATTTTAATAGCAAAGAGTTCACATTAAGAAAGGCAAAGAAGCCTAGAGATATATTCTGGTCTGAGGAAAAACTGAGCCTTGTACACAGTAATTACTTCAGTCAACACATTATTACTCCTATATGGAGATTTTTCTTACACACGGAAAAAAAAACCAAAACTTTGTGGAACCAAAAAAGTGTACATTAAACATCTCAAGTAATCCAGGAAAACTGTATTAAAATTAAGGCTACACAGACAGCCATTAATAAAAACAGTACCTTGTTGCATTTAAATGAGATTAAAGTCTGCTGCATATTCTATATTCCAGCTGCTTCAAACACAGTGAGCTATCAGTCCTCAGGAGGCAGAATCCTGCCTCATTTAAAGTCAATAGGAATTTTGCCATTGATTTCAAAGTGGAAGAATGCTTTAGAGTCAGCTCCTTCCCTCTTCCCCTTTTTTTAAAAAAAATGTCAGATCAGAGAAATCCTCCCCATTAGGAAGAAATTTGACTAAAAAACACAAGATAATAAGTACACAGGATTTATTCTCAAATCTCTTTCAAGAACTCAGTTCCAGCAGAAGCTGAGAATTTTATCATCTTTCCCTTCTACACGCACCCCCAATCCTGGTTTGTTTAACTACATATAAACAAAATCATATGCATGAATTTCATTAAGACTGGAAAAATATGTCCCAGGGCAGTTTAATAGGCAGAACAATGCATCACATACAGAGTAGGACTAACCACATTCAGTTCAGATCACTGAACACTTGGCTGTGCACACTCTTTTTGAGTGAGAACTGCCCTTGTCTGGAGATTCCTTTCCTTGACCTGTACTAAGCTACTACCCCTTTGCCCCTCTTTACTTCATTCCATGAAGAATCTCAAGGAGGGATACATGCCTTTCAAGTGTGAAAATTGCTGGACTCTAGAAGGGCTCCAGAGTTCATACTGGGGAAGTTACAAAAGCATGAGGGGAATGCTATCTAATCCTAACTGTTTAGGTACACGAACGTGCTGCCAGATGACCCAACTGTCCGGATCTCTCCTCAGGCTCTGTTTTTATGTTGGCAGACAGAATTTCCCTTGAAGGCTAAAAATGAGGCATATACCAGTAGGAAAAAAACATAATGCAGTTTTGATTCTCATAAATCAAATCTTATGCCAGGGCCTTGTCAGCTCCCTGCCAGCCACAGCAAGGAGCCTGGGTAACTTGATTCACTACTCAATTTGGGTACCTAAAATGAAGATAGCATCATTGTGGTTGCTGTGCTTTTTAATTGTTTTCTCAGTGAGAGAACTTCCAGTTTGTTACCAAGATAATTCTGGAATAAGAGCAGAACCATAAATCAGCTCCTTGCAAAAGCTTCCAGACCACAACAGAAGCACTCTGAATATTTCACTGATGTCTATTTCTGGATACCTATCTAGTTAATATAAGATGTTATTAAGAACCCTTCACAGAAGCTCCATGTAGCCCTGCCACTACATTTTCTTGCACAAAATGTTTCCTATGATTAATGCAGAGCCCATAAAACCCGTGTGACTTGGTATATTTCAAGTAAAATAACTTAGATGCCTTGCAAAGGTGCCTTGCATTGGTTGCTAATATTTGTAGGGGAAGAGCACAAAAGTCAAACAAATCTTTATACCGATATAAGTTAATATAAGATGTTATTAAGAACCCTTCACAGAAGCTTCATGTAGCCCTGCCACTACATTTTCTTGCACAAAATGTTTCCTATGATTAATGCAGAGCCCATAAAACCTGTGTGACTTGGTATATTTCCAGTAAAATAACTTAGATGCCTTGCAAAGGTGCCTTGCATTGGTTGCTAATGTTTGACTTCTGTGCTCTTCCCCTACAAATAAATCTTTATCCCGATATAAGTTAGCTTTACAGATTTATCTTACAGAGTCTACTACAAACCCAAACATGAGGGTACCACAACCTTAAGACAGGTGAAAGTTCCAGATCACAGGGGGGAAAAAAAAAAACACTTAACTTAGATGTTCATTTAAGCTTTGCAGAAATGCCATAACTGGAAGAAAGCAGCAACTGAAAACCATCAAATGAGGCTTGGACCTCCAGAAAACAGTTTAACAATTTGGATCCATACAGATAGACCTGCTGAAGATTTACAGTATGCAGTAACTGGCTTAAAAAATTGTTCCCATGAAACAGTAGCAGGATGTAATCACAGAAGGCTTATTTCTTCTTTTCAGTTAAGGAAAGAATTTAAACCTGACTGTCACTGGGTTAAAAAGTTACAATTATTCATCTCCAGGAGGCAAGTGCATAAAATCATTGTGTCCAAAGAAACTAACAAAAAAAACTAATGTAAAATATTCCATTGGGTTTCCAAAACCTTGCAAAAAAAACCTGAAAAATGGAACCTGTTCTGTTTCATCACTAAGGAAAGGCCAACCCACACACTGGCCCATAAACAGCCCCAGAGTGTCCTTTAAGAGAAGCAGTAAGCCAAAGTTGTGGAGCATCACAAGAGTCATTATTTGCACCACCAATTCTTAGAGAAGTAACAACAGTATCTAATACATTCAAATAACTACAGGAAGCACTGAAGCTCTGCAGACTCCAAGGCACTGAGAGTCAGAGTATCTGTGCTTGAGCAGGCTCAAGCTCTGGTTTTGTTAATGGCAGAACTCCCACAGTGCATTGGCAGACTTCATTGACTTCTCCATTAATTTCAAAATATGCCAAAGGAAAGTTTAGAGCTTTCATTTTAAGATGACCAGATTTAAACATAGCTTGGAACTAGAAGATGCCCACTGAGATCAAGAGGTTATCATAGAAGTTCACATGCAAAAATGTAAGTTAAAAATCATTTTCTACAAAAACAAACCAAACAAACAAAAACTTCAAAAAAAAAGTGGATCCAGAATTTTCTCTCAAATATTTTAACTTTTACCTTTCAGTTGGCACACAGCTGACATTGCAGCACCACTTCAATGTGCAAGAAAAACCAATGTGCAATGCTGTCAGCAAACCACCACTGCAGAATACATCAGACATCCTAACTTCTCAGCTTTACCTTACAGCACCATTACAAATACACATAACAGTAGCAATCAAATACAACAAAGAAATTTCACCACTGCATAACTATTGATTTTTTAGCCATATGCATGAGCCAAATTCCGTCACTTATCTTGTGAAATTTTTAAAACTGAACACACCTTTTGCAATTATCACACTTCTAGACTTAAACAAAAAAAAGCCTTACCAGGAATAATCATGAATAAGAGCCTGGGTAGATTTTTACTTTCATCTTTTGAGAGGTCTTTCCAGGGCCCACACTTTAAGACATGGGTAGCAGCTCCACAACAGTAGATAAATTCTTCATGTAATGGGACTGGCTCTTCTGGTGCTGACCTCATGTTTGCTGTTAGACAGAATAAGATACTGTTACAACAGATCTGCAACTATTCATGTAGCTAGCTCTTTGTTATTACACCTTGCCATAGAATAATTGCAAAAAAAAAGCCTCCAACTATCCTCCCCAAAGAGCTGTCATCTCTGGGAAATGGAAGCCAAGTTCAGTATTTGTTATTTGAACAGGTTGTAGATGTTGATACATATAACTATGAGAGAAAGCATCTTTCAGCTTTTGTCACAGAAATATATGGTGATGAATTGGACAGTAAGATCTATTTTACCTTAAAGGCAAATTAATTTAGATTTCTTTATTCACACTGTTTACTGAAAAGACCTTATTTGAAGGCAAACAAAAGAAAAAATACCAAATAAATAAAACTACTGCATGAACATCTTCACAAGTTCTGTTTGCCTCAACTATGGGAGCACGGCTTCATTTAAAAACAACCAACAAAAACCAACCAGAATAAAGCCCAAAAGAAAATACCAGAGGCCAAAAGGCACATGCTAATTATTAGATTAATAATTCCAGCACTAGATGGGCTCCTCATTTTAAGTGAGGCATAACTTACTTCTCCAGAAATTTTCAAAGGATTAATTGAAGGAGGAGTCTTTGTCAGCCTTCATCTGTTAAAGCTAATTAAGATCTGATCAATTCAGGCAAATATCTATGTTCACCCTTATAACTTTCCTTAAATTGATTATCTGAATGCAGTGATGGGGAAGGACAGTATACTGCCAAATAAAAAAGGCACATTCATCAGTTCATGTATTTATTATTGTATATGAGATCATTATTAGGCTATCACTTTGGAACTGGATGATTGACCCAACTCCTGTATCTCTTTCAGGAAAAAACCCACTTCATCAAGTGATTACTTACGAATTAACACGTCATCAAGATGAACTATGACAAACATAAGCACTTGCCAAAATAACCATTTACCACTTGCACCTACAGGTGCAGTTACCAAACACAAGAGGCAGAAACCTGCCCTTGTTGGAATATGATCACATTTGGAAGAGAGATTTCTGCTTGGTAAGGCCACCAAAGCTCTTTGTATCAACTTCAAGGGCTAGTTAAGCTCTGTAAAGCCTTTCCAGTCTTAAAAGAACCATGTTGTAGGCTTCTGAAGCAACAGATCTGGCTTAAACACACTTGAAAAATTTGGTTAAATTACTACAAGAATGACTATGCATTCTTTAGCCAATACATGACCACTTACAATGGAAAAGGCTGATTATATTTGAAGCAGTTAAATTGGACAAAGTGTCATTCAAGTCACAGACAAGGAAAAAAAAAAGGTGAAGTCTAATGACTAATCTAAAAGATGAGTCTTTACTGTCCCTACCTAGTGCATCCTGAAAGTTGATTAATATATACATTACACAAAGAAAAAAGTGCAATGAGATACTAAGCAAAAAATCCCAAGTTTATAGGCCAGCAATTCTCAAGAACTCCACCCAGGGACTTCACAGGCAGCTACTGCAGGAAAACTGTTTGGTAAACCTCATCTTGAAATCAATGGCAAGACTGCAGCCACCCTTAGTGTTCTTTAAGATGATCCCTTCTGAGCTGAAAACCCACTATTCTGTGAACAACTTTCACAGCAGCAATCCATCAGATCATAGAATTAGGATAATTCAGACAAAATGAGCACATGATAAGATGCAACAAAAAGAATAACATTACAATAAAACTAGATATTGCTGCATACCACCATGATCTTTAAAACATCAAAACCTTCTAGCTAATGATAATACTAGGCCTTCCAAATGCTTTCATGTAGTGAAAACAGACCATTCATTTTCAAGTACAAGGATCCAAATTCTATTTTGCAGTTACTTTGTGAAGTTTTAGGCATGTAAACTGAAGCCAAGGATCTGCAACGTTTGCAGGACCTTGAGGTCCAAACAGCCCATGCAGTATTTTCTCCCTTTTCTCCAACTTTTGCCCAGAAACTCTATAAACATAAATGGGGAAATATTACAAGAGAGGCAGCTTCTCTTAAGAGTATTTAATCTAGGAATACAACTTTTGCTTTAGCTTAGGCTTTAGCACTAAATTAACATGTCCTCAATGAAGATGTCTACCTGAAAGCCAACTCCTATTACAGGATCTAGGCCACAGTATACAGACTTGTTAGCAAAGCCCATAATGAGAAATGAGACACACACTTTTATTTACAAATCAACACATCTATTTAGGTGTCTTACTGCTGCTCTGGACTCCACCTACTGTCATTATCCCCTCAAGAAAATGGAAGCACACACCTTTGTGGATCTGGTGAGGGCACATTGTGCTTGAATGACCTCATGGACTTATGAGATGAGTAGATCAGAGGATGAGGGGGGAAGATTAGATGTTAGAATCATAGAATCACTATGGTTGGAAAGGACCTCCAGGGTCATCCTGTCCAACCTTTCTCCCAACATTTCCCTAACCAATAGACCATAGCCTCAAGTGCTACATCTACTCATTTTTTTTAACACCTCCAGGGAGGTGTTTAGCTTAACTTGACCAAAGCTTTCTATGCTCTCTCCCACAGTATTCTTATAGCTAAGCTGGTGAGATGTGGACTAAGAAGACTGCAAGGTGCTTTTTTTTTTTTTGAGAAAAACAAACAAACAAAAAAAAACCCAACAAAAACCAACCAAACAAAAATAAACCAACAAAAAACCCCCACCTGAACATACATACAAAAACCCCCATTAACTTACAATCCATATCCTTCAAGGATTGGGCCAATACTTGGTCCCATGACTTCACTAAATACCTGGAGAACAGGACAGTATGACAGTATGCACTTCCAGCAGGTTTGTGCTTAATCACAGATTGAGAGAGGGAGCAAGATAAGAACTGAAACACTAGAGGGCTGGGCTGCAACCCAAATGGACCTTGACAGGCTGGAAAATGGGATCCACATGAAAGCCATGGCAATGGAAAGGCCTGTCCCTGGGGTTCAGTAACACAACACAGCAACACAGGCTGGGGGCTCGAAGGCTAGAAAATGGCTTTGCAAAAAAGGTGCTAGTGGGTAACAGGGTGAATATGAGACAGTCGTGTGCCCTCTCTTATGGCCCTACAACACCAGAGAAGGATAAAGGGCAAGGCACAACAAAGGTGTCAGCCAATTTTTTTAGTGTTGTAGAAAATGCAGAGGGCTTCAGGAATACAGTAGATGACAATGACCATATAGGTTGAAATTTAACTGGATCAGCCCTCCAAAAACATAGGAAACTGAAGCAGATGTATTCCATGAATTAATTGTACCAGCTTAAATAAAAAGAAACGTTTCCCTAATTGGTGAGTTTATGTGATTGAATGTAGCATCACAATGCTGAAGAATAACTGGGAAAAAGGGAAAGCAAGATTCCTTCAGCTGCCTCCTATGCTAAGGTTCTAAGAACTTCTGCAACATTATGCCCAGAAGAGAATCATCCAGACCTGATGTAAGCTCCTCAATTTATTTGCAGACTGGAACTAACAGGCTCATAGCTAAGAGCTAGAATCCAGAAGGGACAGATTGACCAACCTGGTACAAAACCTGCAAAGATGAACCACGTGAGGAGCAGGGGAACACAGGATGCCCAGATCTCATCAAGAATCCCTTTAAACAAATGACAGACAAGTAGTGGATGCCAGATTTTCTACAGAAAAGCAACAAACAGATCAAAGACTTTGCAAACTCTTCTGACACTGGTCACAAATCTTGACCAGTTCTGTATGAGAAAAGCAGCAGCAGCAGGCAGTAGCACATAAAACTGAAACATTTCTTCATTGTACTTTATATTACAATCGTCTGTCAAAGCCATACCATGGCAAGGATCTCATAGTGCCTTTCAGGCTACTTCTGAAAGTAAAAACTGTTAGGTGTTACTTTTAAAAATGAGCAAAGCTAAAAAGTTAATGCTATGGACACATCAAATGAAACAATGTAGTTCTATGAAATAACCAAATAAAAGCCAAACATCTACACCTCAGGCAGTTCAGAGCAGCAGGCTGGTTTCCTCCACAACAAGTGAAGTAACCAGGCAGCATGGCTTTCAGGGACCACTTAACGACCCGGGAATGCCATCAATTTGTTTTGTTCCTGTGACACACACCCCATGTCCCTCCCTCAAGCAGTAAAACATCTAGGAGAATTTCACTGATGACTGTGCAAAACTATCTGTGAAATGCATGGGAATAGGATACAGCTTACTCGTCCTTAAAGCTGCCATGATAAAAAATCTGCAGTGCAGAATAATTGATTCCAGTTCTCAATTCTGAACCTTGTACAGAGACATCCTACAGGGGACTGTGCACAGACCTAAGCAGGAAGAAACCTAGTGTTAAGAACTGGACCTACAGTATCACCAAAAAAAAAATTGAATTTCATTACCACTAATAACCTTGTAGAAATCAGCAAGAACACATGTACTGTCCTCGTGGAGGAGAAGCAGGGAGAACAACTTCTGAGTCTCAATTTTTTACTGGACAAGTGGTTCCTTGTCAGTTCCAAATATTATAAAATCAGTTATTGAGACAGCTTTCAGCAAAGCAGCATAGGGCTCCCAAATCAAAAAGTGTTAGCTTGGAAAGGTCTGCATTTTGTGCACTCAAATTAGGAATAGATGGATCTCCCACCAACCCTGTTCCAACAAGTTGCTTTGCTCTGGCATGAATGATTTTTTCACTTGGGGCTTCACACAACACCAGCAACTAAAAATGCACCCAAAAGAAAAAAAATCAATGACATGTTGAAAGCATAGTAGGTTTCATCAAACACACTTCAGCATACAGTGGAAGAGGTCCTACACACCATCTCTGTCAATCTATTTCATGTACAGAGATGATTAACTACCACTTTCTCATGACAGCTAAAGCATCACAAACTGTTTGAGAACTGTTTACAGCTAGCAACATGAAAATGACCCCAAAAAGTAGCTAAACACCTAGCAACCTGCCCTCTTCCCAGTTAACATGCAAGCCTGATGATGAAGCTAATCATGTTGATGA